AGTTCCATGGTATGCATGTCAGCATGACTAGGCATTCTAGAAATTTCTAGAAACTTATTCTAATTAACAGTCACTATCCATAAGAAATGCAATAAAATGTTACCAGGATCACTCACACAAAGCTGACCAAACCCATTTACACAAAACGGCCAATTAACTCTATGTAAACTCTTCTTCATGCATCTGCTTTGGGCCTAAGCACTGATTGGCACAAGTGAATTTAGATGGAATCATCGTTCATTTCTCAATAATATAACTTCTTGATTTTGTCTAAGTGACCCAGTAACAGGAGCATTACTATAAAGATGATTGTTCCCAGTCATATACATAGGCGCACTGCGAGCAAGAAATGAATTATGAGTAGTCACAGAGGTTTTCAAACATAATGTGTATTACATCTTTCCCCCAATTTGATGTTCTTAATCTTTACCTGAGCTATGGTTCAGAGGAGAGCTTCTCAGGTTGCTAAGCTGGAAGAGAGGAGGTTAACCATTTTTTCTGTAATGGGAGTGGTCACCACAATAGTCATAATTAGTACAGCATACCCTCCACTTCAATGTTCTTAAGCTTTACCTCTGAGCTACAGGAGACTTGTGGTTACTAAACTTTTAAGCCAGGAGAAGGGGTGGTACTTATCAATTTTTTTGTAGGACGAGTGGTCATGAGCACAGGTATACAATGCTAATGTGTCTTACAGTGTATCCTCCAACTTGGCATATTTTAAAGCCTCTCCTCTGAACCATTCAAAGCTTCTGGTTGCTAGATTATTAATCCAGGTTCTTTTTGAAGGAAAGGTACTCAATACTTTTTGTTCGAGGAAACGCTTTCCTGAATTCCAAATCCTTGCTCTGTGATATACTGATTCTGACTAAAAAGGTACCCCACCCTACTCATTATACTCTCTAGAAAGAGTAGTGCTAATTTATATACCTGCAGAAAAACACAACATTGTAAAGACCTTCAATAGCAAAGAACAAACAAAAAGAGTGATCTGCAGAAAAACAAAGCCTCTTTTGCTCAAATGAATCAGGATTACCTCCATATAAAATCATTGTTTAAATCCACTCCAATTGTTATTGCTTATTTTTTTATTCATTTTTCTATCTCAGGCCTGTTTGCAGCAGCTCATGAAATGAAGATGGAGTGGCTTGTCGTTAAAGGTGTTTGTGCTTTTGTACATGGCGTTGCATCTACAAATGATTCGTGGAAGACTTTTGCTTGTGTTATGGCAGCTTCTGTTGTATCCCACATGTTACGTAACTCTTTAGTGTTTGAAGACTGGCCTCACTACAGAGGTGCGTGTTTATTTTTGTAACAGCTTTGGTTGGGTTTTCCAGGAGATCTTATAGCTTGTTTTCCTCGGTATAGAATATTGCTATCTGCTGATAAGAACATGGAGACCAACAGTGGAATTAAATATATATCAGAAAACTGAAAAACATAAGCATTGTTTTTCAATCGTATTGCCGTGAAAAAGAACTTTTAAAAAGTCTGAGATATGAACAAATTCACTTTGGTAGCTTTAATTCCAATTTTTAAGCCATGAATAAAATCCTTAAAATTAAAATCCTTAATTTGAGATTAGAGGAGGTTCATAAGAAATTACTCAAACATGTTGAGGAACCCTTTTGTGTTTGGAGACTGGCCTCATTACAGAGGTACATGTACATTTTTGTAACAGCTTTGGTTGTGCCTTCAAAGAGATCTTGTAACTTGCTTGTTTTCCTTGGTATAGAATATTGTTATCTGTTGATGAGAGCATGAAGACTAACAGTGGAAGCAAATATATATCAGAAAACTGATAGACATATGCATTCTTTGTTTTTCATCATTGCTGCAAAAAAAACAGAGTTATGTACAAGTGCACTGTAAGTTAATAGTTCTAATTCCAAATTTTGAAGTCATGGATAACATTCTAAAATTCCAGAGTAGAGGGGGTTCATAAGAAATTACTTATTTAAATCATTTTAATGGCTAAATATGTAAGATGTTAAAAACCTTGTTATATTAGGATTAAATTTGACTGTTACAATTTAACAGGTGATGAATTGGATATTAAGGTTGGGGTGGATAACATGAAACTTGAAGAACAGAATACGAAGACTGGCATTCTGGCAACAGAGTCTGACAGATACCAAGAGGTTCAGCAGCCTAGGGCATCTGCTCCATCAGCTGCATCTGAAAGTGTGTCTTGTCCACAAACAGAAGATCTCAAAGCTCGTAAAGAGGAAATCTTTCTATCAATTGTGAGAAATTATCTTCAGACCACACCACCACAGTCCAGTGAAGAGCACAGTAAGTTTAAGGAATACTTAAAAGCAATGAGGCTCATCATTACTGGTGTCTCTTTAGGATGTTTGTTGATAACAGTGAAGTGTGAATCTCTAATGATCTTGGAGAAGTTGTGGACAGATTACTCATCTGGCCATCTTGGTGAAGTGGTTCAGAATTGTTTTGTTACTGAAAAGATCTTGAAGGAACTGAACCTGGCTGAGCTGAGGCTGAAGACTACAATGGACATAGAAGAGTACAATGCATGCAAAATGCTCTTTGAGAAAGATGCATTTAGAGGTTGGTAGAAAGAATGTAATAAGGCCTGGTTCTATCATAAAATATTTGTAAAGGCTTTTGAATGAAGTCCCTCAGCTTTTCAACATGGAGTATGGTAGGGTACATGTCATGAAGGCTGATGGGTCCCAGCAGTTTTTTTTATCAAGATTGATGGAACTTTTCTCATGAAAAACTCATGCTGACTGCAATATGTAAACCATGCCAATGTGAGAAGTAATTAGTTTGCAAGACATGTTCTCAAACATCTTCTCCCCCCCCCCCAGTAACCTCTTATCTTTCCTACCAAGACATGTGACTCAATGTTTTTCTCTCTGTTGGATTGTATTTGTCTCTCCTTAATATCTCAGATTACATACATCACCCAAAGATTAATTAGCAAGACTCTTGTTGGAGGAACTATAGAAGAAAATTTTACTAGTTCTTGTATGTTGGGTGTTTTTAAAAATGGTTTGAGATGTGTTTATGGTATATAATGTGTGTCTTCTTGTAAATCTGATTTTAGGTGCTCTATCCTCTGAATTTCACTCCACAAGTTCAACTAGTGAAAGTCCACAAATAAAAGAACAATGGGGGAAAAGTGAACAGAAGACAACAATTATGGAGAGAGCGAAATTGGGAGGTATGTCAGATTACAGAGAAGGCTAAAATCTTAGCATCTAGGGGTCCCCAGCAACGCACTGTTGAAACTATGGCGGAACCCACTTCATTCTCTCTAGGGACTGGCCATGGTAAGCAATTCAAGCTCAAGCTAGAAGCCAAACAATGAATTGAAATGAATCTGATACTAAGCTTAAGGAACAAGGCAGCAAGAATGGCGCCTTGAAGAACAATGGGTTTGAGGGTGTTAAGGCTAAGGAGTCTAAGGAGACTGCACTTCATCTCAGGACCTCAGGTCCACTGGTTGACAATTTACATAATTTTCTCTCAGTATAAGAAAACCTTGTTCAATTTGAATTATGGTAAACCATGACGAGGAAAGGAGAATACAACATGGCTTCCTGACTAGGACTACAAAAAAATTGCTGACTGTCAGTTTTTTCAAACACTTAATTTACAACATATCTCAGGATGTTAAATTTAAGGTGCAAAAATATGATATGGTTATGGAAATAACTATTGTTATCATTGTTTATTCCATTTGTAGAATTGGTGCCCAATGAGAGAATTGATCCACCCTCACAACCAACAGAAAACTTGTCTGCTCTTTCCAACTGTTACAGTAGGGCAGGTTATTCAGTGCTGGTCAGTAATGGAAGTCTCTGTGAAAGTACACCTGAGATGGGCCTAGTTGAGATGGAAAATGGAGCTGCATTTCATATTAAAGTACAAAATAACAATTATTATGGTGAGTTATTGTACAAATGGGCCGTTAAACAATTAGCATTCACTCACATTGTGTTAAATGCCATATCAGTCCACATTATTTTCAGTTAAATCATGCAGTAGGGAGCAAGTTTGTACTATGAAATCTTTTTTTTTTTTTAGGTTGAGTGACAGTTAGTAATTGAATTGAAGGTGATGACTTTAACTAGAATTATTACCTGACTGCATTACAAAAATGATTTATCTTCTAAAACAGCTTACAAACAAGTGTACAAATATGCAGCAGGAGAGAAGAAGTGATTTTCTCAACATAGTGTCATTTTGAATGATAACTTATACTTTTGTGGTCATGATTTAGATGAATACTTAATTGAATTCTTTCTATGTTTTTTGAAGCTGTGGAGGTGGACGTTACATTTAGTGGCAAGTTCCTTGGCGTTTGGACTCTTGAAGCTCATCAGTCATATCCACTGGTCATTGAAGGTTCTTCTTGGGAGAGTGGCAAGCTAAAATATTTCAGCAAGCCAAATGAAACTGAGTATGGGATGCTTGATTCAAATGGGAAAATAGAATTGGAATTTAAGCCTGAGGCAATGGTGCTGATTGCTAAGCATTCTCGATTGCAGAAAAGATATGAAGTATTGTTGACTGATTTCAAGTTGGCAACTGTCAAGGATCTCAGAGAGGAGATAAACCGAACACTGTGGGACCAGCTCGGGTGTATAACTTGTTTGATTAAAGGTGGAGAAGTTCTTGATGAATGGCAGTTCATAAGGTAATTGTCAATTTCAATGATTAAACTTTTAACAGGAAAGAAAAAAAGAACAATGAATAAAATACTAATGACAATGATGAGAATAATTGGCCCTCAAATTAAAGCCTGATTGGGGGAGTAAATGGTTCATTTCACAGTTGCATGCTGGGTTGCCAAGCCTTTGAACAGGAGTGAGGTTAAGGGTGACCTATTATGATACAAACCTTACTGCTTTGCAAATGTAAATTACTTTGTTATCATGCTAACTAGATACTGATTTTTATCACAACATTGTCAACTTCAGCCTCACTCCAAATCAAAGGCTTGGCAACTCAGTACACAACTGTAAAATGGCCTATTAAGTATACATAAGTGTACACAGTCACAATTGTTGTTTCCTAAAAGTAACTTTCCAAAAGATAAATTTAGTTTTATTTTAACACTATTTAGCCTGTTTCCTGCAATAGTAGATTGGAAATACACTTAATGATGATAATGGTGATATCCTCTTTCTTGTTCTTTGTAGATCTTACTCTCTAAAGAATGGTGACATTATTGAAGTCCTTACCTGTGAGGAGCCAATATTGATAGAGTCTAGTTTCAGGGATCCCTTTACTCTTTGGGTTGATCCTCATCATGATTCCACCGAGTCAGTGAGAGGAACAGTAGCTTCAAAGATGAATGTCAAAGACCTTTCCTTTCTGCTAGATGAGAAACATATTGCAAGGAGAGGCCCCCTGACCAAAATCTTCTTACAATCAAGAAAGCCAGTTTTAAAGGCCATAAAAGCTCGTGATGTACGCATAAATGTGACTGTGCACCTCCCCAGTGAGGAAGCAAAGAGAGTTAGAGTCTCCCAGTTTGCAACTATAGATGAACTCATGAGAGATCTCAATATACCAACCTCTGGTGCCTTGCTAAGGGTCAATGATGAAGAGATTCAAGACAGCACAGGTCTGAAAGAGCTCTTAGACCTTGGCATAAAAAATGGATCAGAGGTGACAGTGACCTTTCCCACAGAAGGCAGATCATTTAGTTCTTACAGGTAAAAAAAAATAGTAGGTAACTTGAAAGTACCGCCTTTCATAACATAAAATGTACCAAAAATAATGCCTGACCTTTTTAACAATACAACAGTTTAGCACAAGGTACATCTTTAACAAGGATATTCACTGCAGTAGAAATCTTTAAAAAGTTACTGGTAAATGTGTTTTTGGGCAAGATAAATTTTTTTGGTGATACTTGCAAGACATATGGGTAAAAGGGTGATATGCTTGAACATTTGTTCCTTGGAACAACAAGCACTTACTCTACTCAGGATTAGTCACATAAGAGATGTCTTTCAAAATTGGTATGGGTTGACGGTAATGAATTATTACTTATCTCAATCATTAAAAGGCAGAAACCAGGCAGGAAAAAAGCTTATTACTCTGATCTTAACTCACAATGGTATTAACCCACTAGGGTTTGTGATGGCAATTTGAAAAAGTTTCCTTCACTGTGGATATACAATGAGCATATGAAAAAGTGTTTTTCTTAGTTTCAATAAGAACCTACATTTAATTCTTTAATTTTAGAAACCCAAGCCATGAATCAACCCAAGAAGAATGGGCTGACAGTGAATCTCCTTCTCCATCATCACACAACTTTGATTGCTCAGCTGGTAATTTTTAACCTCTTCAGTTTTTTAATTACCAAATCAAGAGAGCTGAATATGATGAATAGTGTCACTGTGAAACATAGTCATCTAATAATAGTCAGGTCACAGTGAAAAGTCTTTTAAGATCTCACTATCTCTTTCTCTCCATGGAGTAACCAAAAAGTAATGTCCTACAAAATTATCACCACACTGTCAAGCAGAAAGGTGATGATAAGAAAAGAAAACTTTGATGAGAGAGTATATAATTATATGGTCTGGCCACCAGAAAGAGAATCATATGGCAGAGAGTAAGGACTCCAGTTAGAAGAGTTGATATTGAAGTCTTGAGAGTGAAATGTTGCTTATTCATTTTTGGCTCTTTTCATCTGTTAACGATTATTTGACATTTACAATTGTTTCCAGTTAGTGATCTTCTAAGAGATATTACATCATCTTAGTTTTAATGTTTCATTCAAGAGAAGAAAAAAATTTATTCTAAATAAATGAATTGATATCAAAATATTCATCCCTATATCATTTGTTTGTGAAGGATAATCATTTTATCATAATGAGGATATTAACACTATCAGTTGTTACTATGTATTAATCATACAACCATTGGTGAAATATTTTTTTATTTAACTGTCTGTTCCCAAGTCAGGTTTATCATTTTAAACTGAGTGGCATATTAAGTATTCTTAAAAATACTGTATGATATCTTCAATCTTAAGTAATTTATTTCTATGTGATTTGTTTCCAGAATTTAACCCTTTACAATATATTCCAGAGGAAATGTATGGAATTTCAGGTCACTTCAACAACCTGGTAAATAAATATTTTTGTTTCTCTACCATCACAAAATTTTTTACCACTCTGAAATTCTTTCATCCTAAATTATATTTTTATTGAGCATGTCATCTTTGCCATGACTTGTTTTTATTTACTTATTTATTTGGCAATTGCAATGAAGGAGTTATTCCATACTCTCTGAGAAAACTGTCTCTCCTTTATTGATGTACTTTCAGGAATGGATAGAAGAGGATAAGTCTTTTTGTGGCTGTTATCAACTTGACACTAGGAGAAAAAGATTCACAAAAGATAAATCGAAGTCTGTCACCCTGGTTGTTCAACTGTGCTCTAAAAGGTGAGAGTTATCAAATACCAAGACCCTACTCAAAAACATTAGCACAATTTCATGCAGGGAAAAAGCCACAGCCAACACATATCAGACAGGGAAACACTATAATTAAACAAACAAGGCCTAGTAAAACTTGATTTTGAGTTCATGCTTCGGGGACCATTAAACGGCCTTTCACTAATATGATCTAGAGTGTACATCCCCTCTTGCCATAGTTCACATCAGGCTCCTTTGCGTTTGAGGTGGTATGCAAAGGATTCATGCAGATCTTTACTTTTTTATTTAGAAAATGATCTAATTTCACATAACTTTTCTGATTACTTGAAAATCGTGAGGAGAGGAATGGGTAATCCAACGTTAACAGGAAATCAAGTTATGTAGAAGTGAACAAAACAGTTGTAACTGAATCCCTCAGATAAAGAAAAACTAAAAATTAAGGTAACCTTTGATTGCAAGAAATAGATGCAGAGCTAGGTTTGGTCTGTTAAAAAGACAGAATTCTACGGTCTGTTGTTTTTGACGTGTATAGTTATAACTGAAGCTGTTGCTTTTCAGTTGAAACCTAGAAACTCATGCTTATCCGGCCACCTTTATATTTTAATTATCACAGTTTCTCTTCTCTAATTATTCCCGACTGTTTTTTGTTGCTGACCTCTAGATCTGTGACGCAAATGCTGCACTCATATGAGCCTCCTGTTCACTTTGATTCGACTTGAGATAAAGAAACCAAAGATGATACAACATCGAATCAATTAAGATGGAAACATCCGTGGTTTGAAGTCACGCCAAACACCGAAGATTTCACGCAATCAACTCGTTCCCATGCAGTTCCTTGTTAAGAAAAGTTTCCGATTGCGAATGTTTGGTTTTGTAGACTGTTATTTGTAGAATTTTTCTGACTGCCTAAAAAGTAAAGTTTGTAAGTAAATGAGTGGTGGATATAATAATAATAATTTATTTCAACCATCGAGTTATTTAATAGTTGATTTCCTATAATATGTATTTTACTGTTTCATGCGTAATAAACCTATATTTTACGCTAGCAGGCAGGGGATACATAGGAAAAATTAAAATATTAATATAAAAAAATATAAAAATATTAATCTTCCCTTCTTATATGAGATCAGCAGTTCAAAGAACAGCTGAATTTTTCAGTCTGTGACGAAATAGTAACAATTTACTGGATAGGGCTGTCGACGGGGGCAAGGAATTCTGGGTTATGGCCTGTGGTCTGATGCCCGTTTGAAGTTTCCTGCTCACAACTGGCTCAAGCTATGACCTATATTCATAATAATGATGATAACTAATATGGCAGTACAATAATAATAATAACAATAATTATAATAATAATAATAACATTTATAATGATATTTAAAACAATTGTGACGATAACGATGATGATGATTATCATTATTACGTGTATTATTATTATTATTATATTATTATTATCATTGCAGTGATAGTGATACTATAATGGTAGCTTAGCCTTTCAGCGCTATTTTAATCGTCATTCGACTGTCTTTGACTAGATATTGTAAAGCTTAGATAGATAACGGGTGAGATTATTGTCGTTAAATAAAATATTTATGAAAAAGGCTCACCACTTCACTGTGCCTTTTCGGAGTTAAGATTTTTTTCTACGGGCACTTTAACCTTGGTTTTATATTCAACATAGATATAATTTTAGAATATTTGCGAATGCGACATTGTCACGGTACATCCTTTACATATCGAGAAAATCTGAATCGAGACAAACGTTCTACTTCAAACCGTTGTTTATCGGTTTCAGGAGTTTCAGTAACGTTTTCCATGAGCAGCTACCGATGGTGTAATGGGCGGCTCTCCTAGGAAAAGGGGCATTAAGCCACAACCTCGAAACCAGAGCCTACTTGCTTGCTAAACAGACGGCGGTAGGAATCTTACAGGCGGCGATAGAGCGCCTTTTATTGAAACCTCTGGTCAGTCTACCACAGGGTGTGAGGATGCACTTCGAATTTTGGCTCAGTTGAAACAAAATGAAAAGTAGGCGAATAGAGGGAGAGGAATCGAACTCAACGAACTTTCACGAAATAATCGTTTTAAGCTAATTTAGAAAAATTCCATGCTTATCGACGCGCATCCGCGATTTCCTATGTCCGATTAATACGATTTTTTATTCAGAATCAGAACACTCTTTCGAACTGATTTCCTGCAAGTAAAAAAATGATCATATCCTGGGAACTTGAATTTAAAAGTAAGAGGTTTTTTGATCGAACGATCATTGGAACGAAGGATAAAAAATAGCCGTATTTGATCAGCTCAGTTTGACTAGCTGCTTAAACGATTAATCTATTTTTTTTTTGGTTGATTTTTTTTTTGGCTTATCGTAATGCTTTGGACTTAAGTGTTTATTCGAAGGTTCGTACGATAAAAATCAAGCCGTGTTTTTCTAATTACCTGGCTTGCTCATAAAAAAAAAACTAGGATACTGGCGTACATCCAGATCAGATTTAAAACGTGGATCGAAAATTTACACATGAATGTGTTACCGATGATTTGATCAACCTTACAGCCAGAAATTTCCGCTAGCTTTTGCAAGAATAAAGGATAGACTCGCTTTGAATTGAGTCGTCAATAAGCATTAACACGGTGTGATTTCTCATGAGAAATTTCCTTTTCCTGTCAGGTGCCGAGACCATGTCCTCATTAAAAAGAAAGTAAAAAAGAAGGAAAGACTGAAAGAGAAAAAAATACCTCACAAAAATATAGGGTCACTCGGCCAATAGGGATCTCAACAATTGTACTTCGGGTGATTTGATATAACACCTTCATAAAACAAGCATGTTGCATGTCTTTCAAACGGTTGTTCGACATACTTCCTGTTTTTCGGTAAGCTTGGATATTTTTCATCAACATTCTCGCCTTTAGTTATGGTTGATAAAAACTGAATCCTAGACAAATGTTAACTGTATTCATATTGTCATACCGTTTTAGTTTTTTTCTTAATAATAATTTTATTTTCTCTTTCATGTATGGGGCTTGGAACTTAAAATCACCCAATTGTTGATCACGAAAATCGACTTATTTCTTTTAACGATCGACTCATTCATTGCTTAAGATAATTTATACTTTTCTGTTTTGATTCCTTATTATATCGATTGAATATTACCAAGAAACGAACAAGCTTTTTACTACTAACGCAGCAAGCAATTAACGGATTCATGAGAGGAGCCTTCCTTTTCTGGACTACGTAGTAGGAGAAAAACTTACGTTTTCGTTTTCCAAATAAGGGTGTTAGGAACATTTTGCAGTTTAGCGCGCTTAACAAAAACGATCGAAATCTTCCACGGTTTCCCAGCGCAGCTCTCACTCTTGCTCAGATCAACGTTACGCTGAATACTTTTTTACTTTATTAAGATGTCCTTGTGAGCCACAAATTATCTTGGAAAACGGTACGCTTCAGTTAAGTAACTTGGCAGTGTTGTATCACAGAGTCGTAAGTTGATTTACGCAAGGCCCATTGCTCTCTACTTTCTGCTCTTAGTACTACCCAAATTGAACAAAAATTGTCTGAACATTATACATATAGTTTCCGCTCTACGCAAGGCAAAATATCGAAATTATTACAAAATTGATTCATCATTCAAAGTAAAACGACGTGTTCATTCAAAAATTTTTCCGTCGGTAGTGGTATAAGTCGGCGGCAGAGACATCTCATGATCAAGTCTCTCTTGTTGCGCTTCCTTTCCTCCATTCTTTGCCAGATATTTCTTGCGATGTCTCTTGTTGCAGGCAAACCATAAATGAAAATATCCCAGCATACAAAGGAAGCAAGCGATCAAAACCAGAATACATATCATGACAGGGACGGAGATGATTCGTGGCACCATTGTGATGGTTCACTTCGTGTTACGATGGCTGTTACAGCACTGAAATGGGTTCTCTTCCACGTCTTAATGATTTTCGAAACATTGTGAGTGCGTAGGATCAAAATAAATTTTCTTGACGAATACAATAGAAATCAGTCAACGAATTTAGAAGGCAGCTGATTTTTCTCTTTAGAATTCGTTGAGTACCTGAAGAAAACCTTGACGCGTCAGTTCTAACAAAGGAAAGGATGTCATGATGAACCATGAAAGAACTGGAAGGATGCTTGGTGACGAATAGAGCGAAAAACTGGAAAAAAATGAAATTAGAGCTTCCATATATAACTCAAAAGATCTCAACATAAAACAATAGAAGAAAAAAATTTATACGGACTCGTTTAACCGATAATTAAGGAAAATAGAAATAAACAACTCGTTTCTAAAACTTTAACTTTGTTAAACGTCCGTAGCTTCGTGATAACGATATGATTGAAATAAATTTCAGATTCGCGAAGAAACTTTTTGAAGACACGTTTCAGCATGACTTATGCCATCATAATTTAAAAGGGTAACTGACGCCAAATTTTTCTCCTTTTCTTTTGTCCCAATACATTCCTCTTAGGTTAAAGAATCCTCAATGAGCCGCTGATCTTTTTTCACACGTTACACGCGTATACGTTGGAAGGTTTGTTAAAACGATTCAGTAAGAGCTTTCCTTCGCTTGCCCGTACAGCTAATCTGGCACTAATGATTATAAGTGCCCCTTCAAACCTCTCGCTGGTTTGCTTTGGTAGGGCCCGAAACTTACTCGCGGGTGAAGCAATGCTATAATGAGGGCCTATTTATAAGGGTAGGTTCTTTTCTCGAAGACAAACATTTCCTCCAGAGAAATTTGCTTGGATATCATGCAATTGATTGCGTGCCGTATTTCCTTTCGTCCCATTGCAGAGTATGCGACAGTACCTAAGGAATTTTATCAGTAGCTTAATTGCAAATGTTATCATTTCTCTCAGACAAATACTGTCCAGGAGTAAAAAGGCTATTCTGCTGGGTATGGGTTGCCGGATATTAACAGGCAGAAGGAATAACTGGCGTCATGAACTCACTTAATTTCTTAAACCTTTAGTATGATCTTCTTGCAACGCTATGATTTTCGGTTAAATGCTACGCCATGATTTTCGATGATTTGTTTCTCACTTGATGAGGAGGTAAGACCTTAAAAATTCTCAAGCTATGGTGATCCCGGTTTCCAACCTTGACGAGCAGAGAGGGGTGGGGGAATCGGGGAGGAACCCTTGGTGAGAATAATAAATTTAGACACCACATGTTCTATAGAAAAGTTTATTTCATTAACCCTTTACACCCTAACATCAATATGCATATTCTCCATACTGTCATTCATACATTTCCTAAGGTGCAGATAAAAGAGAATTTGTTTAATAATCAAGAGCTTGTTAATTTGGTGATCATTTACTTCACTCTCATGACCTTAATGAGTGATTTAGGGGTGATATTGTAAGGAGAAAATAGATGCTTGTCACTCTTAGGGTCATATGGTTAAGACCCATGTTAATTCATGTACCTTCACGAACAGTTAACCAACGATAGGTGTTGTGTTCCTCCTTCTAATACTTACCAACAAACCTCAGTAAAAAAAATATATAAATACCCTTTGCAGCAAAAAATTTCAAATATCTTCTAATATGGTTTCTATTTTGATATCTTATTTTTGTGAAATAATGTAGTTCAAACATTAATTGACAATCGGAATAAAACTACTTACAATTCCCATCTCCAAATTCCACTTTCAACGAATGACAAAATTTGTAATTGTCTTTGATCTACAAACACTTCACTTTGACTACAGCTACCAAATTTTCGAGACCAGTATTTTCCAAGTAATCTGTAGTGCTTCATCTAAACATAACACTCATTAAAACCAAGTCTACTTAAATCCACTCCTATGAAATGAACTTTAGACGGCTTCAAAGATGGTGTCATGACAGACAAAAATGCACTGTTAAAAAATTTTTTTTGGCTCACTTTTGTGCTTTAAGCAACCTTGATCGCTATGACAACCTCGATCAAGTTCAACTTCTCAAAGCCTTAGTTACGATGTTTGCGACTTCCATGCTGCTCTCGTTCTGAAGGAACGTCTCGTGATCACCCTCGACCCAGCTCACGCTCAACTGACCACTGCACACCTCGCGCAGACTTAAGTCGTCACCAAGACCCCTGCCCATCTCGTTTACAGTTTTGGCGCGAACAAGATGTACGTTGCCATGGAGTCGCGAAGCCGGCTTGTATTCTTCGCCCATGCGCAACAAAGCCATAAAACTCGTGATGAACCTGACAACACTCTCTTTGGCTAACGCTGAATTCGCTTCAGATATAACGTCAGCTGTTAATTGAATTTGTTTGTCAATGGTGGTTTCTTTCTGAAGAACTTCTAGGAGTTTGGCTTTGTCAACAGGTGCGTACTGCAGTGCTAGGGCACTCAGGCCTTCTGCCACAGCCCTTGGTTCCCAAGATCCTTTGGGTTGAAGGGACAACCTGTTTCTATGCCACACTGTATGTGCTGCAACATAGGTGTGTGATCCATCCAATAAGATTAAGCTCTCTACCTCGTTTGTCTTTTCCAGTTGCAATGCCATTTCTATTGCCACTGACGCCCCAAACGAGTAACCAGCCAAGCGGTAAGGGCCCTGAGGGATAATCTCCCGGATGCATTTAATATAGCTGGCCGAGAGAGACTGGATCGAATCCTTGGGGGACGTCAAGGAGTACTGCAGACCGATCACGGGGAAAGAAAGATTGTTAGCCAGGATACGCAACGGCTCCACTGTGCCATTGATATTGTGGATTATAAAAAGCGGTTTCTGTCCATTTTTCACATCATTCATTTGCACCAATGATTGTTTGCCAATCTCTGGAAGGTAAGCTTCGGTTTCTTCAATGATCTTTCCTTTCTCAGATTCCTCGGGTGCATCACCGCTGGTAAGCTCCCGCATTTTATTCACCGTCAGCAGCCGCACGTCTTTCATAGTCATTTGAATGTCAAAGTCTCGTTCCAAGGTCTGGCGGACTTCAACTCCCATGAGAGAATCAAGACCTGTTGGGAGATAAATCAAACATGTAAGAATATTGTTTTCTGATATAAAGCCTTTACCCACCTTTTAACCAGTTTGGCTAAGTTTTATTAAATCTAAAGCATTGAAAATGACAATGTCAAGACTATGTCAAGATCAGTGTCAAGATCACAGTCACTCAACCAACTAGCGGTAAAATCTTGGGAAAGGATAAAAGACGTTCTTTCTGCGTTCTTTCTGCATTCCTACCTGACCTTCACCATCCTAAATAAGTGTTCAAATCGTTTCAAAATTCCGTGGCGTCTTAACATATCAGTTACATTCCATTATTTGGATATTGTTAGATAATTACATGGTAGTCTCATTAAAGACGACTTTGATCTATCTTACCAAGGTCAGCTAAGGTCGTGTCAGGCTTAATTGTAGAAACATCTTTCACTCCAAGAATATGTGCTACAGCTCCAACCAGGTCGGATCCAGACCCCTTATCTCCCTTGCTCGTTATCTTGGATGCTAAAATGTACGATGACATCACTGGATGAGTCTGCGATAAGAATCTGTCCAGCACAGCTAAGCAGCTACTCATGCGCTGTGGAAGAGTACCACCAATGACAGTCTCATTTGAGCCACCCATGGTATCCTGTGACACATAAAGCACGACAAAAAAGTTAATTTGGAGACTGATAACCTTCTTAACAGGAAAAAAAAAGACAAACAAAAGGGAAAGACTAACATTTTCGAATGATGTACCTATGATTGAACAGCCTACTGGGAGGGGGGGGTGGTGTGTGTCAGAAAAACGTATTCCTTTTTCAAATGTCTCTTCTAAACACAGACGTGCCTTTCAAAATATTTCTTCTAAACAAAGATACGCCTACAAGCCAGTTTAGCCGCGAGGGTGGGTGGAACTTAACCTTTTGACCCCAAAGAGTAACTGGCGTATAAATTTTCCTAACAATATTAGCCCTGAATCTAACCCTAACCCAAGGTTACGGAAGAAGAGGAAATGAACACCAACTAAAGAACTTATCAGCACTTTGGGAAATGTATAGATAACAGTATGGGGAATATGCACACTGATGTAGGTGTAAAGGTCAAAGACGAACGGATTTTAAGTTATCCCTTATGGGTCTAGTGAGAGTTACCAACCTGAATAAGGCCCACGTCTCCAATAGCACCCCACTGAATCGCGACTCCAGGGAGACCTTTCTTCACACGATCTTCACAGACTCTCTCCATAGCTGAGTTGGCAAAGCCGTAGTTGCTCTGGCCAGCATTACCACGCCCACTGGACACGGATGAGAACACCACGAACCAATGAAGCTCCTCAGCAATATCCTTCTGTCGAGTCATCTGATCAAGGTATATTGTGCCATGATACTTGGGTTTGTTGACCGCCTGGAATGCCTCGATGGTTTGATTCTCGAGCAAACCATCCCTCAGTACCACTGCCAAATGGAAGATTCCTCCCAAGGGGCCGAGTTCGCAAGCCTTTTTCAGGATACAAGCCGCGCCTTCTTTTGTGCCAACATCATCGGTCAGTGAAAGTACTTTCACACCCATTTCCTGCCATACTTTAATGCGACGAGCCTGGTAACCGGCACGGATACCTGTGAAAAAAGATCATAGTCATTGCGTGTGACAGGAAAAACAAACAAACGAGAAACAAAATCAGGAAATGACCCAAGCAGTACACGGAACACTTTTCCACACCTCGCTAAATAATACTTCCTTATCCTAACCACATCACAATATAACAATCAACTGTGTTCAAATCTCGTTGAATATCGCTCTCTAAGAAGACCCGAAGTAGCAATTCTCTGCGACAACCAGAGCGTTGTTTTGAATTCTATTTTTTGTTACGTATTCAACTTGAACACGACTGAAAGGAAACGAAGATGTCTACTTCAAAAGCATTTTTAAAATCATGCCACAGTCTTGCGAGACCCCTACCTCTGCGACTTGTCAGAACCAGATTACGTGCACCTCTCTCAACCAGCCAATGCGCAAGTTCCAGACCAAAGCCACCCAGGCCTCCGGTGACTACATAACTCTTACGCGGGTCGCACATGCTGCGCGCATGCGCCATAAGTTTGACCACTGATTTGGTCTCGTCTTCTGGTTTGACTTGAATGACTACCTTTCCAATGTGTTTGCCCTGAGCCATGAAACGGAAGGCGGGCTCAATTTCGTCGCGGTCGAACACTGTGGTTTTCAAAGGTCGTACTGCACCTGTAAAGATAACACCGGAAAATCCTTTTCAGACACCTTCTTCGAACCTGTTTGCACCAAAACGTCTGCGCTCTATCTTTTATAAGGTAGCATACAAATAAGTGATATTCGTAGTTCCTTAATTACCTGACTTAATTCCTTCTGTAAAAAGTTTTGAAACTTCGATCCACTCCGGGTTGTCCTCTTCAAAAATAGCATCCAACAGGATTCCGTGGAAGGAAACGTTTTTAAGAAACAAAGCCATGCCCAGAGGAGTGTTGTTTGACAAGTCATATTTTCCAATTTCGAGGAAACGGCCATGTCGCGCCAAGCATCGTAAACTAGCTTGCAGCTTTTCCTCGGCCAGCGAATTGAGCACAACGTGCACGCCACGCCCATTAGTTCTGTGCATCACCTTAATATGATTGAAAGGTAAACTTTAGCGAGCTTTTCAATTGAGAATGGCAAAATTGGTGTTGAGGCTTATAATACCATAGAGCTCTTTTAAACGTGATTTTTTGTCAAAATACTGCAAATTATCATCATACCCAAACAGACTAATCCCTTTTCCACCGATGAGATGCCACGTCGAAAAAGGAAAGAACTACAGCTAACGTCTAGCGTAACTTCAAGGCGTATTAACTGTTCAACAAGAAGTTCGATGATGTCAAATTGGAAATTTGACATCACCGAATATCGCCAAATATCGTCTAGCTTACCATTTGTTCAAAAGATAAGTCTCGAGAGTTGCCGATGTTCTGTGGTTTCAGATCAAGGAAGGTCGCCATAAGGTATTCCCTCTTCTCTTTCGTCCCTACTGTCGTGAACACTTCACAACCCATTTTAAGACAGATGGAGATGGCTGCCTGACCAACTCCCCCTGATCCGGAGTGGATGAGGACAGATTCCCCTGGCCTGAGATTTGCGCGGACAATCAAAGCGTAGTAGGCTGTAGAGTAAACTACTGGAACAGAAGCTGCTTGCAAAAGGGTCCAGGTTTCAGGTACCTATAAACCAAAGTATGTCAAGCGAACAGAGAATGTACACACAAGAACACTTAAAGAGATGTAGAATATAACACAGGTGATACACATTTTACCCTACTATTAACATTTGCCTTACAAGTGAATTACCTTCCAAGTAAACCGCTGATCTGCCATGACTGTAGTTGCTAAGGCCTGCGCTGGTAGCAATCCCATGATCCTCTCGCCCTTCTGATTTCTACCAGAAAACTCCATTCCCAGGATACAATCCTGATGTGCTAGGTCTCCAGGAAGGGCATCCGGTGGCAATTTACCTGTAGCAAGCATAATGTCACGGAAGTTTAAGGAAGTGTAGTTGACTGTACAAAGTTCTGTGGTTCCTTGAGTTCTTGGGGAATACTTCAGATGAGAGGCAATCCATCGCAGTGAAGAGAGATCTCCACGTGTCAGTACATTCACATATGCGTGCTCTGTTTCTTCACTAGCGCTGGGCGAATCCTCGAGAAGAACATGTCTGAAAGGAAGATTTAAAAAGAACGATAAAAATTAATGAACTTATAATGCAATGGTTCATTAACATTGTCACGAATCTATTCTTTAGATCTCATTGCGTGACTACAATTCGTAACAACAAATAAATTGTAATTCAAATAGAGATGCAGTTTTTACGACTGAGAGTCTTGGCTTGGACATTTAGAATGAAATGCAAAATGAGTGTACGTACCTATAGGAGCCGAATTTGCCACCTTGGAACAAGTTCATGACCAAATCTAACTTAACCAAAGACTCAAAGTGTTCCATCACTTTGGCCTTCTCATCAGGGCTGGCGAAGAGACAGCGGATCTTCTCTCCACCCAACTCCTGTCGCAAGCAATTTGTCATGCCCACTATTCCTGTGGGGGACGCGGTGAATGAACGGAGCCATATGGGTGACTTGTCACCAGACGCCATAGCAGTTTGAAGGTTGGGCAAAAACTGGAATGTTTCATCCACGTCGATGAAGACAGGTTTCCCCTCAGAGGCATTCGTCAGCCTACATAGAAGGAGACTTGACACGGAGCCGATCCTTTTCATTGACACTAGATTGAGTCCAACACCTTGCAAAGTTTTCACCCACTGTTGATCCGTAAGGAAGTACTTCTGTTCTTGTCCACTTGGAGTGAAACCGTTCTTTCCAAAAATAGCACGTGCTGCCTCCAGATTAGCTGTAACTTCATGCAGCAGAACAAAACCTCGCGGGCTGAGGGCAGACTTGATGTTCTCCAACGCATTAGAAAGGTCCGATGTCATATGGATCAGATTTGAGGCGATGATAAGATCACTCTTGTTCACAGCAACTGGCGGTTGCTTAGAAACATCCCAAGTGCAAACCTCAACCAAGTCCTCTGGGGCCAGTTCGGTAATGGTACCCAAGAGTTCTTCATTCTTGTCTGTGGCTGTATAGTTTAGTTGAACCATAGGATGTAGACTTAACAAAGGCACAGCACGCGAGAAGACTTTCCCTTCAGCTGCACCTACTTCGCTGATTTTCAAATTGGGACTAACCTTGTTCTCGATGACAGTGTCCAACATGACTTTCAAGAGAGGACCATTTTGTATAACATCGAAGAAGCTTTCTTTACTGACACCTTCCAAAGTTGCGCTTTTGGGCATTGGACCATCAACATATGGCACGAATGCGAACTTTTCTAAGACAGGAACTTGCCCATCTTGTCTTTTAGGTGCTACGGTCGCATGAAGACCTAGCAAGTCATGAAGAGACTATTGGTTAGTAATTGTATTTTGTTTGTTCAGTTAAGATGAATCAACGTTCAGATTCTTTTCGCAACTTAATCCCTACCAAAAGGACATGAAACGAGAATCGAGAAGATAATCTTTGAGTCCTGGGCTTACCTTTGAGTTCTACACCACCAGCCACAACCATGTCCATCTTTGGATCAACCTTTACCTCACAAGTGCCTTCTTTTGCTCTCTCCAGGTGGATGGATGGGTCAATGCGTATTGATCGTACTCTGGTAGGCAGCCTCAATCCTCGTCCAGGAAGTCTCAGAACTGATAATTGAAGAATGGTGTCCAGGAATGATATCCACTCTCCAGTCCACTTGAGTTCACCATTTGTGCCTAACAATACAATCACAGCTGACGCTAAATTTCCCGATGCAAGACGCTGAGCCCTTCTTACAACAATTGCCCTTGTAGCCATCGTGTAGAAAGTTCAAGTTTAATCAATAAAAGCTATATCTGAGAAACACAAGGAGATAACGTTTAAAGTACCTAGTGTGGTATCTGAACTCTGTTCAGAGCATGCCAATGTGGATTTGACCTTAAAAGTTTGCCTTGAAAAAGGATATGATATTAGTCAGAAAGGACTTAGAAACGAGGGATTCAAAAGATTGATTGAAGTCAGAGAGCCTACCTGAACTGTTTGCTCCTAAAATTCCTTGAAAAGTGGGTCCGTAGTCATAACCACGTAGCCTAAGCTCCTTGTAAATGCAGTCTGCTGTCAAGTGCACCTCTTCTTCAAGTGGAGGGTCTGCCTTAAAGTCTTCACTCAATACAGGCGATTCTGGCATAAAGATTTTGCCAGACACTGCTAGGCTGTCTCCTTCAGACACATTGAACTTGTTGGAAGCTGGCATAAGATGAACAGTTAGAGTCACCGAGCCAGTCTTTGGGAGAATGGTAGCCCTGTGGATAGTTACATCTTCAAAGGCGACTGAAGTGTGTTCCAGGAGAAGCCCAGCAGATTTGGCAAGGGTCTTCCATGCCAGGACCAAGTAACCTGTGGCAGGGAAAAGGACTCGACCATCAATACAATGTCCTTCAAGGTACTTGTCTGCTGATGACGGTGATATGTCAATCTCAAAATTGCATGATGTTGCTGTTCCACCACTGCTACTGAACTGAAAGCTGCTCATGGTGGGAACATCCCATTCCTGGGAATGGTCCCATCCCATGTGAGGAGCAATAGAAGGAGTTGAGACATGGACAGGAAAAGATGCCTTGGTTGTGGTAATCAAGGTTGGATCAAAGTTAATTCCACCCGCATAAAGTCTGCCAAGGCCTGTCAAAAAGAACTCCAAGTTGTTTGGATGATTCCTTTTCATTAAAGGGATGTTAACTGACTGTGGGCTGAGAGATCTCTTGAGAATGGCCTGAAGAAGGCAATGTGGAGCAATCTCAATGACAACAGCCTCCACTGGAATCTTTCCTAGTGCCTCTTGGAACAGAACTGGGCTAACCAGGTTGTTCACATGGTAATCTGCAGAGGAATACTTTGCCAACTCAGTGTCCCATCTGTCTTCAGGAATAGATGTACTTATCCAGCGTGGTGATCTCTTCTTTGGTACTATGAACTTCATCAATGACTCTTTGAGCATAGGGGCAATAAGAGCCATATACCTGGAATGGAATGCAACACCAGATGTGTTCACTTCCTTTGCAAAGGTTCCTTCCTCCTTTAACTCCTGCACAAATTTGTTGACAGCTATAGCATCACCAGAGATGGTGACAGTGTCCTCAGCATTATGGCAGGCTGGTCGCACACCTTCAGGACACCTCTTCTTGGCTTCTGCCCAGGTTAGACCCACTGCAGCCATAGCTCCTGGAGGAAGTTTAGCCTCCTGGACACAACGACCTAAATCAAAACAAACAACCCATGTTATACTTCTGTTTTTATAAACTTAAAAAGCTTGTCCTTCCCTAATTGAAGGATTGCCTTAGTTTCCCTTTTTGTGTTGTCATGAGTAAAAATTGATTTCAAATAACAGCATATACTATTTCTTCTTCAAACTGACATGGCAAAGAGATTTTATCTGTAGTATATAAAAACTACACATCTTACAACAAGCACAGCCTATCCAATATAATTAGGGGACTTCACCTCTCCAATAAGCAGCCAAAATTACTTCCTTGGCAGTAAAACTTCCATCAGCATATGCACAGCCAAGCTCTCCCACACTGTGCCCAACTATTCCATCTGGGGTTATTCCTGAAAACCAAAATTTGGGACAACCATGAGCAGAAGGCATAAAAAGATGCATAGTGATCAGAAAATAATTTATAGGTAACAATAAGGATTGCTGTTGCCAAACAGTCATACTGTAGGTCCTTTTTGAAGTTGTTACCAACAATTATGCGCATAGAACAATCCAAAAAAAAAAATACTACTAGTTAAGATTTCAAGTTACATCTAGGGTATGATTTCCAACTTCTGGTATGAAGTCACTCCAGTTTGCCTTTGAGCCAACTTAAGCTCTTAGTACCCTGACTAAAAATCTTTAACAAATTCTAACAAACAAAAAAACCTTACCCAAAGCTTTCAAGCAATCAACCAAGGCAATCTGAATGGATGCTAGTCCCACAAAAGAGTTGATGGTTTTGGTGTATGTCTTATCATCACTCTTTGTAATAATCTTGACAAGGTCAACTCCAAAGTCCTTCAAAATCTCAGCAGTCTTGTGGATAGATTCACTGAATGTTGGAATCTGCATCAACTTCTCTCCCATGCCAGACCACTGAGTGCCCATGCCAGAGAACACATACCATATTGGACGCCGATTGGACTGTACCTTGAGGACTTCTTCAACATTGCTCTCACTTCCAACAATTGTGTAGCCTCTATGTGAGAAAGTATTCAAGGGTGTGCATGAAACCTCTGTTAACAAGGCCAAAAGATCTTTATTCGCAATATTCTCCCTTGCAAACTGCAGCATTTTCTTCACTCCCTCTTCTGTTCTTCCTGATGCAGGGACTACTATTGGAAGAGTGGGCTTTAAAGATATTTTAGGTTTAGGTGCATCTGGTGACTTCAAGATAACATGAACATTGGATCCCCCAAATCCAAATGAATTGATTCCAACAATGCCACCTTTCCAAGGCAAGGGTTCTGTCACAACCTACAATTGACGAAATACAATAATGATATACATCATTACTTAGGTTATTACTTTTTAGAGATACTAAAGCATCTTTTCTGTGTCTAATTTATTCCTTTCCTGGCACAAACCAAGTAAGAAGCGGCGGGTTGTACTGATGTCACCATTATATTTGGTATCCAAAAGTGTAATACCAATTCAATTGTGATCAATTCAACCACTCTGTAAAGACCCCTGTGCTTCGACTCACATAGCTTAACCACTTCTTCCAACCAGGGAAACATACTTTCAGTGAGTAGAACTGCAAAAAACCCTTTACCATTCTCTCCCATTCTTGATTCCTAACACAGTGTGGCGTTTAACCCTTTAGACCCTAATTTCTCCTTAAAGCAATATGGCTGAGTCATTCATTAAGATCATGAAAATAAAGGAAATGATTGCCACCCAAAGAAGCTTTGATTGTTTAACAACTTCTCCTTGTCAGTATATTAGGAAACATACAGAGAAGAGTATGGAGAATATAGATACTGATGTTAGGGTGTAAAGGGTTAACAGAGCATGGTTTAGAAAGAGATGAGTCACCAACCTTCAGTCTACCATCAAGAAGACCTGGAATGTCTGGGTTTGGCGAGTTGAAATGTAAGTTGGGTGGTAGGATGCCATGTTGCATAGCAAGCAACACCTTGGTCACTCCGCACAATCCTGATGCTGGTTCAGGATGCCCCATGTTGGATTTAACTGACCCAATAAGAAGAGGTCCTGTTTCAGCTGCACGTTTGTCACAAAAGACAGATGTGAGTGAGTTCAGCTCCTCGGGATCACCAGCCTTGGTACCTGTACCATGTGCTTCAACATAAACAACATCTGCTGGGTTAATGTTGGCTTCTTGATACACCTGATCCAGCAGTTGCTTCTGAAGAGCTCCACTTGGGTAGGTTACACCTAACAGACAGATAACAAGATTACTACAACCAGGCTTCTTGAATCCTACATCATACCTAAATGTTCAAGTAAATATGTTAAAACAGTTTAAACATAATCATTCTCTCGTTACAAAGGATTGATGCCAAAAATTCAAAAATGAAATTCTATCTCCATTACTTAGAGTCAGCATCAACTCAATGATTCTTTTCACCTGATTTTTAACACCAAATCTGAATTCTAGGTTCTTAAGTTTTTAAATAAATATTTCATGAAAAAATTTTGATATTCAAGATACAGAAAAGTAGAAAGGTTAAACATTGGAGCTGCAGTGACAGTCTGATCTGTTAACAGTACAAGTATGACACCTTTAATGTCTTTACCTTGTGTCTTGTAGCCATCAGAATTGGTTTTTGAATTAACAACATGAGCATAAATCCTCCTGGCCACAGATCTCTTGGTCAGGTAAATGGCAACACAACCCTCAGAACGACAATACCCATTACCACTCACATCAAATGATTTACATGCACCATCAGGGGACAACATGTTGAGCTTTAAGAAGTCCACTGAAGTGTTGGGCTTCAATGTAAGACTCACACCACCCACAATAGCAGCATCACAACTTCCTGATCTGATTGCTTGTACTGCACAGTCCATAGCAAGCAGTGAAGAGGAGCAAGCAGTGTCTAAAACAAAGCTTGGTCCTTTGAAGTCAAATGTGAAAGACACACGATTAGCAAACATTGAACGGGAACAACCAGTCATACCATAGCCAACAATGTCTTCAGTGTTTGCACTGAAAGCTTCAAAAGCTTCAGAGCCACTGGCACCAACAAAGACACCAGTCCTGGAATTACGAACTGTCTGGGGATCAATGCCAGCATCAATCAATGCTTCATATGTTAATTCGAGTAAGATTCTTAACTGAGGATCCATTCTATGGGCTTGCTTTGCATGAACACCAAAGAAGGTTGCATCAAAGTGTTTTATGTCTTTGAGTTTTCCACCACGTTTTGGCAGGCCATGAAGTCCAGGCATCCAGCGTCGGTCATCCTCTGTCACCATATCCTCCTTGTTCATCAGATGTGACCAGAACTCCTCTGCATTGTCTGACTCTGGAAGTCTGCAAGCCATGCCTGCCACCACAATGTCAGGTAGTTGCTGTTGGACCATGCTTATTTAGCTATCTTTCCTGTGAAGAAGAAAAAAAGGAGAATCTGCATTAAATTATTTATTAGATGACATAGAAAATAAAGAGCAACTCTTGCAGACAGCAAACATGGGCAAAAAGGCACATCATGTGTAGTTGGCTTTCTGCATAAGCTTTATATCTCAAACAGGAAAGCTGCTCACCCCTCCCAAATGAAGGATTGTTTATGTAATGTTCAGCAAGCAAAACCAATACTGTAGTCTCTGCAGGATATCACACTTTAACAACTATATTTAGAAACATGAAGTAATCTTGTTACACAAGCACCATTTTCTTTTGAACCCGTTTGATACCAGTGCAAATTCTCCACACGAGCTCCTGGAAGGTTCCCAAAGAAGTTTTAATTGGTAAAAATGGATCAATAATTCAACATTTGACTCTTGATATTTACGATCCGCGTGATCAAACAAATATTAGACACAAATGTATTGACATCTTGAACGGATATAAAATCCAGAATGTCCTCGTCTCATTTGTCAAGTTAGCTTGATGTATTTAGTCCGTTCTGGTATATCTGGCAGGGTATATGTGCTGTTAACAACTACCCCCCGCTGTGTATTTATCCAATTTATTTCTACTTAACGCGTCCTTTTGTGTACCACAAAGGCTACTTTGCGTCTTTCCGCCACTAGGGAATTAATACAGTACTCACTAGGATTTACTGAGATGATGTATCTTATAACAGTATTGCGAAAAGCCTTCATGCTTTGTGTCATTAATTAGTTTTTCAGGCTTTTAGCGACCTCGTTCACACAATGGATGTCATTCCTAATCTGCACGAAAACTGTTTACAAGACGTCAGGTGCATACTTTTTAGGTTATGAACAAACGATGGAAACTTTACAGTATCAGATTGCGAGCAATCTCAAATAGCAGTCGTATGTGTTGGAATTAATTTCATTAGGTTCTCAGATTGTTTATTATTTTAGATATCACGAAATTGTTGAATATACAATTCGACTCTATTGATAGACTTAGCTCAGAGAGATCAACCCAAATGAGTTTCTCCTTCTCCCGACCGAACAAAGCAAATCACGAGTTCAAATGTGAACTTCAAAAACTGTCTCAACGGTTACGAAAATTACAGACTAAAAGTATATGAATGTTAGCTTACGTACTTGAGGTGTTTTTTTCTGAGTATTTGTCGATGTTGAAGGCGGTTTACCACCAGTTAAAGCTGTGAGTGTAATGAACATCAACAACTCACAGACAAGAAGGACCTCAGAGAGTATCTTTCTTCCTGGAGAATCAAGAAGTCCAGTTCGACTTGATGCGCTTCGGGTGCTGGGCCTTCGACTTTTCATTGTGCTCTTGAAATCAAAATCTCTACGCAAACAGCGGAGCTTAACAAGACCTCACGAGGAAACTACGACGATTGCAGGTTACAACTGTATCGGACGCTTTTACAGGCGATTTGTAATAGTACGTGCGGACTCAAATTTCGCAAATGACGTCAATAGAGGAACCAGTGGATCAACCACAACCCTCCGGCTCTGAGACAAAGTTCGCAGAAAGCGCTAACCAAATGACACCAACTTCGATCTCTCTGTGTCAAAACAACAAAGGCATTCACTTGTAATGGCGCAGTGTTGTATTGGTATGCAAATCAAATAGAGCAGCACTCGTCCGCGATAAAAACACAAAAGAACACTACGAAATGTCAAATGTCAACACATGTTGTGTTCTGTTTACGATCATCATGTTTCAGTCACGTGCAAAACTCATGTGACATTGTCAGCTCAAAATCATGTTATATTTTTTTCCCGATCAGGAAATAGACGCTGCCAAAATCATCGATAAGTTAAGATATGTGATTAACACAATCTATTCCACGAAAGCTAAAGCGCTGAAAATTAGAAAATGTGTTTTGCGAACAGTACAAATACTTTACGTTCTTGGAGTGTTGTACATGAATTACACAATCCGTTACTCAGGCCCCTTGTACTGAAAATGCCTTCAGATTACTTGTTAGCATATTCCTATTTTGGACCATCTGGGTTTGAGTTTCGCTTTCCAATAACATGCCACTGCTTATCACGTCTGTAAGCCAGCTTTCGCCCGCGTGACACAGTAGAAGAGTTGCTTTACTCTGATTCAGTACTGTATTACTCAAGTAAAAAGATTGAAGTTATTGTTTTCAGTGATGTATATGACTGACTAAAAATAAAAAGATGTTTAAGAGGAAAACACAAGTGAAGAAGGGGTACTACTAGTTTGACATTTAACCCCAAATGAAATAGATCTGACAAATTTGCAATAAAATTCCTTACCAAGATATCGATAAACGAGATCGGGATCGGGATCATCTCACAAAACATAAACCTACAAAATTTGTCAGCTAGACACACCCTTGTGTGCTTGATATTAATTTTTTATCTAAAAAATATTCTGTTTCGCAAAAATCAGAGGGTGGATTGGACCCAGCGAAACAGCCTATTCAATCTCCTTCAAAATTCATAAATCCAAAAAACTTTCGGTGGTGCAAAAGAACTTGTCAAACTTAACAAACTTAAGGAAGGTGGATTCCATCTATCTAAAATTGACTAAAATAACTCTGGCTAGCACATAGGAAGACATTAATTCTTTTCTCGGTAACAAAGAATGATAACTTACCTCCACGAATTAGTAAAAAAAAATTAATGTCAAAACGCAGTTTTCTAGTTCATCTACTTGGTCTGAACAGAGTTTTAGTTGAGAAAGAGTAGAAGCACAAACGAATGAGCGCTGTGCGAGTCTGACTCAAACCCAAACATATTTTGTCTTCATTTCTTTCAATTTCGTATTTTGATGTCAAACCAAAACCGCAACCGGTTGACACACCTCCGACACACCACATGTTTCGACAAATCACAACACACTAGATACATTCAAAACACGTGCAATCGAACATGACTGGGTTTTTTAATCACATGCTGTGAATGTCGGCTGGCGGTGATAAAAAGAGAATTTTCCTTGAATCTCACCTTATCTTCTCAGATCGTGGAAAATTTGAACAATTGCCCATTATCCTTGGTGTAACCACTATAATAAGTAATTTGAAAATTTGAGGTAGCACAGTGTAGTAAGGAATTTCTTCAACATGAAATGTAGGAGCGTTATACCTCAGTTCCGCTACGGTTTGAGTATTTCAAAACATGGCTTGGACAGTTCAGGGTTTTACTTCGCAAAATGAAAAAAATATACGCTGAAATATTTGACACGTTCACCGAATCGGTCACGCTTGATGGTACAGGTTGTTTGACATTCCCAAAAAATCTGCTGATGAATCTCTATATATACACATTCATTACAGCAGGTTTAAGGTAGCGCTAAATTTCTCTTACAGCCCAGAAATTAAATGCTCAAGTTGACTGATGGTTTCGCGGAGAATGTTGGGAACAAAGCCAAATACAAATAAAGATAGCGAGATCTAAGATTTTAGGTGGAGGGGAGAGGGGAGAGGGGGGGTGGGGTGGGGTAAAGAGACTTTCAATTTCACTGTCTGAGATCCGATACATTTTGAGACCACAGCATACAACCATTAACAGTTAGCGTACGCTTTTCTTTTCTGAAATATCTAACCAGCCGTTTATCTGTTCTCTAACAGAGAGCTGGCTACGAATGATTGAAATGTAGACCTTATTCATAAAAATGACGCAACGATCTAATCTTACACTTGAGCTGCCTAGGGTATCAAAATATTTTGGACGTGAAAGCAAAACTATTTGGATTCCTTGAAAGTGTTGTTCACCAAACTAGAAACCCAACTGCAGAGCAGACCAAATGAACCCCTCCTAATTATCAAAGCAAACATATTCATCCTTCCGCGGGCCCTGTCCGACTCATCTCTAGAATGCCCCTCCCAATTTCCTTAAAGTCGAAGCTATCTTCAAAAATACTATTAAGATAGAAATTAACTCCGATACGGTTTGAGACGATGAAAATTTGACATCAAAACATCAGTCATACTCCAGAGACGGTGACTTACGCAATCCCACACCGGGTTACGTAACGGAAGTACACCGGGTAAACCACGTTTGCAAAATAGTAGAGTGCCGGCGCTCTTGAAAATGGAGAATTTTTTATTTAATCGAAAATGAGCCAGTCATTAAATAAACATGTAACCTCCTTTTCAATTTTTTCGGTAGCCGCGACTTGTTCTTTGAGCTGACACAATTTGAGCACCTCCTAAATAGAACTCTTTCCTTGCTGTGTTTTAAAATGAAAACATGTGTTCTTAAAACTAAAAAAAAACAATAACAGACAAAAACAACTTACCGTTACCACGATGTTACAAAAAAATCAACTGATCAAGGTCGAATCCTCTAATCCTTCACGGATATACGAACAAATTCTTCCACTCAAAAAGACTTACAACACTTTGGAAGAAGCACTGCAACTATTCTGGCCCGAAGTTAAAATAATTCGGTCTTAATATATCTACGATTTTCTTAATTTAATCTTCATTTGCACGTATCCCTACCAAGGCATGGAGTATGCCAATCAGAGCTATATGTGCTGTTTTCACGTGCAACCACAATGGTCGGCGCGTGGAATCTTAGGGTAACATTGTAATGTCGCGTGTGATCACCAGATCTACCCTCCTTGACTTCACTCAAAGGGTATCCCCGTCTAGACACAACTCTGAGAAAACTCTCAAGGATATCTCAGTTTTTAAAGACATACATATAATAAGGCCACCTGTAAAGTTCCGAGTAAAAATTCTGATGAACATTAAAAAATTTAACGTGAAAGTGATCCTCTAAGAGCGTCACATTTTTATTCAAAGATGACGGACTCTCATGGTTCGGTGTTGAGACGACCTTTGGGTACTAAGAAACGGAGATTTGTCTGAAGCGTGATGGAACCTTCCACGAGTCTATTGTATATGAATGAGTGATCAATAGGTGGTTGCCATGTATAGATGAGTGGTGTTCACTGTATCACGTTACGATTTAAGGTAATACTTCATGGCCAAATTTACAGTGGTCATTTTAATGCACGATACATGAGAGCTACAGGAGAGTGAGTCAATATGCTATTTTTTTCCACTCTTTATTGGACGTGCTTGTCGCGTGATCACCCAGGGATACTAAGACAACGCATGCAATTGGTTCAGGCATTCAAAATGCATGGTATTCAATGAACGATTAGGGAATCTGCTTCCGAGTTCCCCCGTGCCTAGTTAAATCCAGACCGAAAGTGCTTGGGCTGCATATTTCTTGTCATGAGACTCTTATCGATGTAAAATCACCAGCGGTTGGTTCGTTTTTCACTGTTTGCAAGGAAAGGTCAAATGAAAAAATGTAGACACTCGACTTCTGCCCAATTTAGACGAGAACCAACGATGGCGAAAAAAAATAAAAACTCTTCATGAGTAGAACAATTTAGTGAGATATAAGCCATAATGACATGGACCTTGATATCTTCTAAAAAAATGTTTTGGCAAAGCACACTGGGCCCCGAATTACATACCATTTTCCTTTGGGCATAAAAACTGTAGACAAAAAATAGACTTTCTCAAATCACGTTTCTTCAGCTTGAGAGCATGTCTCCCATTCAGGGAACGAGCCAAGGAATATTGATCACCACGTGCGAGAGAAGCCTGCTGCAAGAAATTACAATACCCGGAAAATAAAGAAATTGCACTCACAACCACGTTTTAGACAAAAAAAATATCACGCCTTCCTGTATGAAACCCTAAACCGTCGTCTGTTTAACTTGTGGCCAGCACGTGCACACTGATCAATGATCTCCTGGTTATTGTTGGGGAAAATGCTGATATTTTGGAGTCAATGCTTTCTACATTTAAAAGATCTAAAGATCAGGTTAAATTTAGCTACTGTTGGCAGAATTACTCTCTATAACTAAGAATTTTTTTTATTTAAGTTAAAGCATGAATAGAGTTATCTTTTTTTTCCAAGATGTTTGCGGTGCGATTTAATACACACTTGACAACATCGTTGAACTCCGTTAATATCTTGGGCTTACGTACTTTGCAATTTCTTCGTAGCCTTTTTGCTAGTCTAGCTTCAACGTTTTCACTTTCTTCTACGCTGAGAATACATTACTCTCCTTTCTTACACGTTAAGTTGTGGAAAACATGATCAGTTCTCGCTGCTATCGTTAAAAACGTTGAAATAAATGTGACACCGGTTTGTAAAATGTTAAAAATTAATGGATCACAGCAGAAGCTATTTCAAAGTGAATGTCTGTATCCAATTGCAATTGTCTGGTTTTTCGTCTGATGGTTCTCAAACAGCTCCTTTGATCATGTTCATAAAGCTTGGAGGTGTTGAATACAAAGCCTGTACAAGAAAAACTTTCAAATGCCGAGGACAGCAAAACGAAAACATAAATTGATAAAATGCGAAAGTTCTCTCGATTAATACAAAGAACATGTTCTTTATCATTTTTTCAACGCAAACCAAAATAAAAGCACTTAAATGGAAAAAGAAACAAATATTTGGGATCACTTTTATGGAAAGTATTTCTTTAGTTTAGCCTTAAACGTTCGTCAAAGTTTGATTTTTATGTCCCCCTGTGTTTTCCAAACATATTCACTCTCTTATACCATGAGAAGCGAAAACATATTGAAGTATACTTTCCCTATCGCGCTAGCTGCGTAGAAGTTCAGTTCCTCTGGGCAAAGCTAGAGAAGCATGCTCTAAGCCGTTGTCACATAATGCTATAAGGCGAAACGGAGTTTAGGCTGTGTAGAAAACGGAAGTGACAGAACTGTAGCATATAAACAGGATACTTGTAGCGCAAAGTCGCACTGACAGATTAAAGACGTGCCACCAAGGAGCTCAAAAAGAAAAGTTCACACAGCTGGCGGACAATTTCCTGAGGTGCACGAGCCCCTTGGACTAACAAAGTACACTTTGTCTAGACAGCTTTTCTTATACGAACATGTCTCCTCTAGTGGAGAAAGGGTAAGTTTTAGCAATGATACAAGATCAGAGTATCAACGTACATATGAATTACGTAAAGACGAGTGAACTGTGTCGGTTATTTAGCGTTTAGTTAAAAGTGATAATATTTCTGTAAATATTGCTCTGTACTGGCATAACACGAAAAAAAAAATTTTTTTTCCCTGATCCATACTCCATGACGACAATCAGCTTTTAAACTACATGATTTCATGCAAAGAACAAACCATGACTACCGAGCAGAGCAGCAGACTGTATCTTCCGATTAACACAAACAATATTAAGTGCGGGGAAACAAAATTTACCGTTACCAAGAAAATCATTGCTTGTGTACATTTATTTCTTGAATGAAAAACTTAGGTCTGTTTTGCCAACATATAGAATGGATTAAACGGTACAGAACACGGTTCACTTCAGACTGCTTGGCTCGTCAACTCCCCGGGTGCTTTTCTTTTACATCCACAGTTTTTTACTTGACCTTTCTCCTACCAAGATTATGTTTCAAAGCTAGTCATATACGTGTAAAACAAAATCAGGGTTTTTGCCAATGGACAGTCCAAATTAAGCAGGGTTTCTGGAATTCTTTTGTTTACAAAACTCAAATCGGTCTTCTTCATAGACCTTTGCAAGACCTGAATTTCAAGATTACTCTTTGTATTCCTATCATAACTTTCATCAAAGAATGACACCCCTTGATAGGAAATTCTCAATGTGAACCAAAACTATCTCTTAGTCCTCCAACTCTGTCATCTCTTATTGTCTGAGAAAGAGACCTTTGGAACAAAGGTTTAATCAATAAAGCAATTTCAAAGAGAAGGGCTCTTGGAAATATTTGGATGGGGCATTCACATTTCAACTGTGAAGGCATCAAAACTCAGTGGAACTGCAAAGCTAAAGAGGTGTTTGGATAGAAATAAATCCACAGATTCTTTTAAATTTTCTCTGTATTGCTACCAGTCCTACCTTAAAGGTATCTTTGATTCAACAAAAAGCAAGTGCAGCCCAAATTTCCCTTGCCACAGAGTCTGAGTAATGCATTATGTGCTACATTTTGGTCATAAGTTAAATTCATTTTACAAGCTAGACATAAGTGACAAGGTAAGAGAGAACTGCTTTTTAATTATGCTTAAGAAAAACCTTTACCATATCAGGTTCTATAGAAGAATCTTACTGTTGCCATTATATTTTAAAACTTGAAACAAGCTGGCATCCAGTTTTAAACTTTTTTTTGGAGTAAGCCCCAGACTCAACCACATGTACACTAAAGAGGGATCCTCCTAAGGACATGATCTACATTGACAAAGACACAGTCCTGGGAACACATATTATTTTAGATGAAGAGGGGAGAATCAGAAGGAGGTGTATTAAAAGGGAGCAAAGAAGAAGAAAGGAAGCAATGAGGTGAAAAACCAAGAGGGTAAATATGGCAGGGTGGAATGAGAACTAATTATTATTTTGTTCCTTTTTGTTCCTTTTCCAAAGTGGAAAACATAGCCTTGAAAATTGTTAATTTTTTTCAATAGTCTTTATAACAAATAACCACATCCTATATATTTGCCTCCTTTCATATTGGCATTTCAAAATCTTCAGTATAATACCACATTCACACCAAAGCTTTATCGTGCTTTAAAGCCATTTTGTTAACCATGGCTTTAATTTGTATTCTTCATAGAAGCTGCTTAAACAAATGTTTTTCCAACTTCAAATTTAGCACACTAACTGACTACTAAATCTCATGGAAAATTTAGCCTATCAGTTCTCTGTTTCTGAATTTCATTCATTTAAACCTGGTTTACAATACCGCAAAAAGTAAGTTGACATTCCCATCAAACTTGATCATCAAAACTCAATTCTTGATCCTCACCTCTCAAAACCTTAGATGTTCCAGACTCGAGTTCACTTTCAAGATGTTCAAGTGTAGTATCAAGATGCTCAAAATGAGTTTTGAGCATCAGGAAAAGAGGAAGCAAAGGAATTTTCATGCAATTAATTTAAAGTTTTTTACCTTTTTTCGCAATTATAGGATAAAAATCCTTACAGTGTGTATTGTTGCCAATGCAGCAAAACTTTACTAGATCTGATGTTTTGAGTGGTATTATAACTAAACATGTTTTGCTGGTGTTATTGGGGTGTAACATTGCCAATCAATAGTTTCAGTGTTAGATTTTACCATAACCACCCCCTCTGTTAGTAAATCTACATGAATCAAGTTACATAATATTAGTTGTCATACCTGGGGAAATACAGACAAGATCTTGCCGAACCTGGCAAATTTGCAACATCTTTTCCCTGTGTACTTCCTCTAAGCTTCTGAGTTGATTTTGAAGTGCCTTTTTTTCTTGTCGCAACCTTGATATTTCATCTGATGCCATGGAGGTGTTTGCAGTTTCTTTGGTTGTCCTTGATGCCTTATTGGATTCTCCTTGAGTTAATTTTCTCAAACAAACAGAACCTCTGGCTTTAGGTTTCTTCTGACACTTCAATGAATATTTCTGAAGTTCTCTTATTTCTGACAAAAGTTTACTATCAAGCAAAGATAATGCATCTGCTAAATTAGCTCGTCCTTCTTCACAAGATTGAAGACTTGCTTTGATCTTCTTCCATGTTTTAGAAACTTTCCTGTAGGTTGGTTCTTGAGTGTGCAAGATTTGGGAAAGTGTTACTTGATGCCCTTTGGCAAGTTGCAAATCACTGCTTGGTGAAAACTGCTGTTGTAGTCGAATATCATCACTCTGTACACCAGTGTCCTTTGCTCCCTCATCTGATATTTTTCCATCCAATACAGTCTCCATCCATTTCCAGAAGGTAAGCTCATTTAAAGACCAGCAAATAAGAGCCTTTGCATAGCCACAAAACCATTCAAGCTTCTCTTGATATTTTTCAAGTTCATTTGGGTAACGCAAAAAGTAGATGTCTTGTGATGAAAAATGGCCAGAACTTTGAGACTTGGAGCTTTTTGGTATTGAATGTAATTTGCAGATAACTTTTACGTGTTCATTCTTTGCACCCAAAAGGCTTTTCAACGAAGAGTGTAATTTGTTGTACCTGAAAATTAAACTTTCAGCAAGATCAATGGCGTTGTTATGATCTTTTTTATTTTTCAGTTCTGAAAGAGCATCTAGTCCTCTAGGTAAGGGAATCTTTTCATACAAAGACGAGTCCAGCGGAGGATCCTCAAAAATCACCGGCTCCAGCTTTGTCAGTGAGGCAGACATGACATCTTCCTTCGCAATTAACCAGCCTAGAGCTAACATCAATTCCCTGCTGCCACAAGACATATCTTCTGGGAGCTGGTAAAATTTATTCACTCGATATCCTTTGTGAAACAGCTTATGCTTACAGAAACTCACTATGTTATCTCTTCTGATAGATTCGGGTTCTAAATCGTCCACAGAAAGAACTGTCCGAAGTGTCAGCCATAGCGACTCTGTTGCTTCATCTTTATCGAACTTGGCCAAGCGGAAACTCTCTGCAGAGACCTGTGAAGTGGAATGGTTGCTTAGGACGTTGCAAAGTGCTTCAATTGTTTCCCGAATTTGTGTCATAGCGAAAATTAGTTTTAAGTGAGAGTTTTTTGAAGTTTTGCCGCCATCTTGATTGTGAGCGCATGCTTACACGGGCAAAATACAACTGAACACAAAGAACGTGGAAACGTGACTTTGGAAACTGTTGAAACTGTCCCGAAATCTCAAAATGTTCAAGAAATTCCTTTTCTTATTATTTTCCATGCCAGTGAATCCTGCTCCAAATGCTTTTTTGGTTGAAATGATCCATCAAATAAAGGAAAAATAAAGAACAGAAACTTCCGAAACAATAAAAAATGTTACTCGTTCCCAGGCTACTTTTACTCGATACCAACACTTTCGATTTCTGTTTGTTTCAACCGTTGGCGCTTTTTACAAACTTCATTTATAATTTATGGACGCATAAACAGATGTTATTGTTAACGGGACCATTATCTGGGGGATTTTATTCCGCTCAAATGAAAATAAGGATACAAACGAAACAAGAGATATCAGATCCCAGCGTAAAAAAAACTTCCACCCAGTGATACTCAGGGAACCTGCTGCGCTTCACGGACTAGTCTGCTCGATTTGACGTTTCTAATCTTTTAATTAGTTAAAACTGGCTATCGCCTATAGTCATTTGAAGTCAACTGATAAGATGGCATCTCATCGTTACGGGGAGCTCAGTGGATTCGATTCAGGATCGCTTAGTGAAAGACAAGACTCAATGTTTGACCGATATCTCGATGAAATGAAACCGTACGTACTTCGGCTGCCCCACAAATCAGGTATAGCTTAAATATCTTGCCGAATTTTAACCTTGCATCTGTAGATTTAACAAAATTGTATATTTTTTTGTTATGAAATTGAAAACAAAACATATCAAATGATGTGATAGTTGTTGCATGCACTCAGGGCTTGGTAATCTTTTCATATGCACGGGGATTAACTCCATAACAACAACATTAGGTGCTGAGTTGATTTAGACTGCATATCCGTTGATTCACGTTGAACATTCTGTCAGCAGACACTTGGTTGATCGCTAGGTTTTTTGTCTCAGCAGATTGCTATTCAGTTAAACAAAAGGTCTTGGTCCGATTTTGCGTTGCAAAAGTATCAGAAAAGTATTTCCCCCCTTTGTAAGATAATTTTTTATCAGTCTTAAAGATACGAAGGAACCTCTTTGAACATGTTGAAAAGATGCCCTTCGCTCTCAGCGTAATTTTAAAATTAGAATTGATTTCTCTGTGTGATCTTAAAAATTGGGAATCAATACACCAACTTCTGTTGAGATATTTCATTCTAAATACTGGTTTTTCCTAATGTTTTTCTGACTGCTCAAGAAAATTTTGGTGTTTTTTTTAACTAGAATAATTGGCATTTAACTCTCAGAACAAACCAGGTTTTGCTTATCAAGAGTGTTAATTATTGGTGTGACAAATTTCTTACTTCCTTTTTGACATAAAAATCAATTTTGTCCTTTACTTCATTTAGACAAAGCTGTAAATTGGTTGACTACAAGCAGAAGCAAAAAACCCCAAACGAGAACCAATAGCAATTTTATTTTCATAGGAAAGGCAGAAATTTGTTAGGCCTGCTTCCCAATCATAATAAGCTGTCCTGTTCCCTTACACCCTAGACTATGTTCTCACAAGCGGCATAGCATTCATAGTCTTAATTATAGATGTACCGTATGTTACTTAGGATAAGAAACAAATTTGAAAAATAGAGACATTCTGAATATGCCTACAGTCAACATACCAAGGATATAGTAAAAGGATTTTGCTTATGATTTATATGCTTGTGTCAAAGTTGCAGGATTAATGTTAAAGTTTATAATATAGATATTGATGTAATACCTCAAACTCTCCTGTTTCAAAACACGGTATCTCTACCAGGTATTGTCAATGTACCATCTCTATCTTCACATGTGAAGGTAATAATATTGTCATGGTTACCAGGTTTTAATCAACATGGTGGTTTCTTGTTTCCATGCCCAACTATGTAATATCTGCAAAATGTGTAGAATCTAGGATACATTATACAGTTTTCAACCATGTGATATTTCAGGTTCAACTTGCCAATATATATTTATTGGTTCATCATTTATTGAGCAATCTATTTAATGATTAACTCAATTTAACTAAACAGCTAGAAAGTCTTACCAACTTTGATTCAAATAATAATTTAGTAAATTTAGTAGTAATAAATTACTATTTTGTGTATATGTATGCTAAAGATATCAGTAAAGTTTGGCTAGTTTATACAGAATGATTAATGTGACAATCAAATGCAAGAAAGCAGGGAAACATGGGATGAATAGAAATTGATAGAAGTGTTCTATCAGTTTCATCTCCTATCAAATAATGCGGAAATGAATGGGATTGGAATTCTCTGACTTAATTTTTTTGGATTTTTTTTCTTTTGCCTTATTGAGAATGATAATTGAAGGTAAATATTTATTATTCCATTTTTAGAGAAAAATGAAAATTGCATATAAGGTTTCCCTTTAATTTTTTCAGGAAAGAATGATTAATTATACATTGGTGTTCCATTTAACAACCTTTTGACATGAAAACTTAAAACTTCACTATTTTCAGAGAGGCAAAGAGTTGCACTATGGATTAAAAAACTGTGTGAGCCTCCTGGTCCAGGAACAAGTGGAAGGTAAGTTGACAGCAAATAAAATGATTGAGTTGAGAGTATAACAATTAAGGACAAATGAAATTCCTACATTTCTTCATATTCAGAAACACTTTAAAATTTATACATTTTCTGTAATTACATGATTGTAAATTTGATGCAGAAAAGTGGAAATTATGTCCTACTTTTTTGTCTAATAATTTTTTTTGGTGAAAATAGTGGACACTAAAACAAACTCGATGTAACCTACTACTTCTCCTACTAAATCTTTTGTGTGTTGATAATCATCCTACAGGAAAAACCGCAACCTTTATGCTCAGTTGTTGCTCCACATGGTTAAACGCAACCTGTTAGAGGAACCATTTACCAGACGACCTGAGGCAGGACCACTCAAAACCTTGCCATCATACATGGTACATAAGTGTACACATATTTATACTGTGACTCGCAATCACCAGAAATTTGTTAAAAATCAAACAAACCTTTTATATCGGAAAGGCTACCTATGGTACGTAAACTATGTAAGTATGTGCTTCTCAGCCCACAAAATGTAAATCATACAGCTCCAGATATATATAATTTAAAATAATAGTACAAAATGTTAAAATAATGAATGTAATGGACGGATCACTCACCGCTTGATATTTGAACATCTGAACCTTTTTGCAGTCCATTTATCTTGATGAACCTATACAAAAGAGAAGTGCCAGTGCAGAACTTGAAGAGGTATACCTATTTGTCTGAACTTTGGTGTAATAAAATCTGTACTGAAGTATACAACAGTTTTTGGGGTAAAAATTGTATTTTTACATGATGTATTTGTGGCAATTAAATTTAAACTTCAGGTAGAAAAATTTCTGCTTAGGTGGCTCCTCAGCTTCCATGTTCTCTTTACCTAAGTTGTGAATAAGTAGAAGTGGAAGAAAAAATAAAATTGGCATTTCTCAATTTTAGATAGATTTGTTTCCTCAACTGAAGAAACTTCATTGTAATATAAGCAAAAAAAGTCAAGAAAATATGGTTTCTATGTATTTTAAATGAAAATTGTTGTTGAGAAAAAAATTTGTCTGTAGTTAAAACTTCTCTGGGAAAATTTAGTCATAAGGTTTGCAATTTTGATTTTTGTATATTGATTTTAAATTGTCATGTATTTACTTGTAAGTGCTTCAAATTTCTATAATTTTCTTTTGTTTATCCTAAAGGAATTTGGTCATAAACCACCAGATTGGCTCAAAGAAATCCCCAGTTCATCAGGTATCTGAAGTAAAATTGATAAACTGAAATTGATTTTCTTGACAAGCTGTTTACTCAACTGAAAATCACATGATTAATATATACATGTAATTAATTTTTTAATTTTTTCAGGAAGTGCTCTTTCAGATATTTCGGGAAGCATCCCCTCTACTTCAAGAAGGTGTGTAAACTTTCCTCAGAAAATTGCCTTAAAAAAACTCCTTAAATTTTCTCTGAGAACCTTTTAACATGTAGGTTTTGGTTGGCTAAGACTTTTTCACATAATATTCTGTATTTAAGTAATAGGGGACTTTTTCCTTGTTTATATGGTCTCATGTGAACATAAGGGGTAAAAAGAATTTGAGAAAATTGCCAAAAACTTAATATTTGCTTTCAGGGAGTTGCCAACTACTAGTGGTGTAAATCCAGTCACTGGGCCACGATCCACAACTTACAGCACTTCTAGCAGAGAGGAGAAAAATGGTTATGAAGTGGCTCCTGGATTTGATCAACCACTTGAGGAAAAACGTTACAAGGGAAGACTGTCTTCTGGCTACCCAGGCTCTGATGATATTCTAGAGTTAAGATATGGGGGTCGTATTTCCCCACCACCTCGTCGGCATTATGAGAGTCCATCAGAATATCAGCACACCGATTCAGGGTATCCTTCTACGTCACCAGTGAGTCACATTTTTTATCATGTAGACCTTGCTTTAGTTGTTAACACTGGATAAATCTCTCTTTAGTGAATAGTGCAGTACACTGTTTGTTTACACTTATCCACTGGATAGCAATTAATTTTTTTATCCATTGAATACCATTATCTGCCCTTTGAGCAACTGGCCCCTGTAATATAATGTGGATGTTCAGTTAAAGTTTTTACACAATAAATGATAGTCTTGAAGTGATATGATGTCATTCCATTGTGATCAAATAGCTGTGTTACATCACTGTACAAAATAATGGCAGAAATGGTCCCTTGGAATAGTTGTAGGCTCATGGTAAGAACCTTTTGGAAGTCAGTCAGTTGGTGAATGTCATGAAGGAAAACTTCTAAATCTACATGTCTCATGGTTATAATTGCTCTGATAAGGGGCTAATACCTGAATTGTCATGAAGGAAAACTTCTAAATCTACATGTCTCATGGTTATTTGCTCTGATAAAGGGCTAATGCCTGAATTGTTAGCTCTAGAAACTCTTTACAATGGCCAATTCACATTATCATTGACACAGCGATACAATTTCTTTAGAAACTTACCCACTTCCTTCAAAATTCCTTCTACATTTACGCTCTAAGGAAATAACATTGAAGCCTTCTTGTCATGTTTTCTAAGGGATGCAATATTTCTGATTTTTTAAATTAATTTTTCCCATTTTTTCTTGTCCTGGTCCAAGAAAACTGTGGACTAATTGTTATATTTCTTGTTTCTTTATTTTGTAGCCATCAAAAACAAATCACTACAATGGGTTTACCAAAGGTACGTTCATTTCCTCTCTTGGTGTAAGGACCAACTTTCCCTCCTCTTTCACTTCTTTACTGTCAAGCACTGTAATTCTTTAAACTAAATTACATGATGATGAATAAAATTGGTGATAATCAAATTTGTTATTTTGATTCTCACTACACAAATCACCTAACAGAGAAGATAAACATCTATGGACCTTGGTATTCCCCACTCCTTGTTATTCATATGTATCCCAGGTTACCCTAAGCATTTTTGTGATCCTTCCTTAACAGACATTTATCAAGTGCTACCTGTTTCTGTTTTTTGATTGGATGTATGTGCTGTGAGTATCCAGTCCAAGAACACAAATAATATAATGATTGCAGCCTTGAAATGAATCTAGAAGGATTGTTCTGTTGTCTGCTGTACTACAGAGCTCACTGCCTACTATGCTGAAAACTGAAGAAAGTCTCTTATAATTATAGTAATTTTTTCACTATCTTTTTTATAAAGGAATATCATCTTTAAATGGAACTTTGCGGGAAGACCATAGCTTCAATCGTTCCAGTGACAGAGAGGTAATTATTGTTTTTATTTCCCTCACTCCAGGGAGCCATCACCATATGTAACTTTTATTGCCTCTTGAATTAATAAATTTATTAATTACTGTATGAGCTTTTGTGCAGATGTATCAGCAAATTCTCAGCAGCAACCAAGAAAGAGATGTATTTAATACATAATCTGAATTACCAAGTGATTCCATCAAAGCCAAAGGGAACTCCAACTGAAAACAACCAAACTGCCCTATCTGATCTGCATCTGATTAGTTGAGAGAGTAGCGTGAGTTTTCTGGACCAACTCCTCTCACATCACTTTTGTATTGAAATGGACAATTTATCTGAAGCATGATTTCTGTGAAGAGGATCAATTTTTACAATATATTATTGAATTTGGCATTTTGTAAAGAGATTGCAGACTGATTAAGTGTACTCAGTCTCAAAATATATAAATTATATTTTTGGCAGATTGAGCTAAGAACAAAGATGGTTGAGGCCAAATATCATGAAGATAAACTTAAACTTCAGCAACAACATGATGTTGCAGTTCAAAAGGTATTCTGAAATAAATTTTTAGTCATTTCACAGGTCAGAAAATAGTTAGGGAAATAGAACATTCCTCAAGGTCAGGGAGAAGTCAGGGAATTTTTTTTCAATTAGTTTGAGGAGGTAAATTGAAATTTTGATCAAAGTTAGGAAAAACTGAAACACCACTTTGATGACATCAATGTTTTTCCTTTACAAAGAAGACAAAATTTTTCTTCCATTTTCTTAGTCTTTTATGTGAGGGCCATAATAGGAATGCTATTGAATTAAATATTGCAATTTGCTTAATAGAATATTTCATTGGAAAGGATGGGCATTTCTAAAGGGAGACTAAAGACCATTGCAATTTGTTACCCTTTGTATTAATTTGTTTTGGTAAATTTTTACTTCTTTACGAGGGGGAAGTCAGAGAATTTTTGAAAACCAGTGTCTGTGGAAACCATAGTTTCAAAAGAACACCTGGGTGGTAGATGGTGGCAGCCAAACTTAAAATCATATGTTGTTCTGTATGTATCATTTTATGGTTTGTTTTTATTAATATGGTGTTTTTGTTATGAAATGCCATGGTTTAGATTCTAGATAGAAAGAACATGGAGTTGGAGGAAGTGAAATCGCACTACAGAAACAAAATTACTGAAATGGAAGCAGCTGCCAAGAAACAGGAAAGGAAAGGTGAGGAAGGAAGCAACACATGCTCTCAAAATAATACAATGACCCTTAAAGTTAAACATCCATATTTTCCTTACTGTTCTTAGCAATCAGAGCTTCTTAGGTTGGTGATCATTTCCTTTATTCTCCTGATATTAATGAATGATTCACCAGTGTTATTGTGAGGAGAAATTAGATGCTGGTCATTTTTAGGGTTTAAAGGGTAAACCAGATGAAACTTCATTGTTTTATGTTATGCACACCTTTTGAATAGTGTGATATAAATATTTTTGGAATATTTAGGCAGTAAAGTGTATAATTAGGTATATTTCTACATGACCGTGTAACTTATAACCTGGCCATATGCTCACCAGCCCATAGAATTTTTATATTGTGTGTTTGGGTCATCTTTGTCTTGTAACACAATTGAGAAATTTGGCCTCACAGTATGAGATAATTTAATATGTAACATGAGTAACAATGACAATTACAGGGGTTTCATTAAAAGCCAGGTACCGGCAGTCTACCACCACCTATAAGACCTCTTACTGCTGTTTTTTTTTTTGCCTGTAAGAAGGCTCAGGAGTTTGGGTTTTGCCTTACAGCCCCTTTCCAGGCACTGCGGCCTATTACACCATCAGCAGCTGCTTATGGAAAAAGTTATTGAATCCCCTACATTATCACTGTTATAATTTTACCTCACTCTAATGCATGTCTTAGTGTACATAAACTATATGAAAGATACAAACATGTGTATACACAATGATGCTGATTATGGTATTTTGTGTTCAGTCTCCCAGCTTGTAAGAGATGCTCAGACAATGAAGGAACAAAGAGATGCCCAATTAGCAGAGTTAAAGACCCTTGCAGAGCAGAATGGTGAAACAGCACAACATGACTTTGAGAAGAAGGTCAGTGAGTGTTGTTATAATAATTATGGTTAAATTGTGATTATATCACTTCGCACTGTCTTGCAAACTTTTCTGGAAATTGATTTGTTGTAATTGACATAATTGAAGTTGGTGGAATGGTATCAGAATACAAGTTAGTTATTAATGTTACTATTAAAAGTAGTGTTAGCATAGTGAGTGCTACGTGATATTCAATAAAATTCATGAAATTTAGAATCAGTTAATTAACAAAGAGAAGTGTCCTGATGTCTACACCTCTGATTCTTTCAGTGATAACTGATTTCAAATGGAAATACTGGTGAGCAAAGCAAGCAAAGGAAATATGTGGGGTTTCAAAAAAAACAAATAAAGAAAAATACCATGACTCTTTCCTTTTCGTTTGCTTGTTCTGTTTCACCCTGTCCCTCCTTTATTCTCTGAACTGTCCCCTCTAACCTCAAAGCTGGTATTTTAATTATCAACCTTAATGATTGTTTTCCACATAGACATTCAAATTTATTCTATCTTACCACGATGTTCAAAACACAAATAAATTTGACCCCTTTCAGTTGAATGACAAGGTGGCTGAGTTTGAGCAAGAGAAGTTTGAGATGCAGAAGCAACACACTCAAAACATTCAAGAATTACTGGACGAAACAAATCAGAGATTGCAAAAAATGGAGACAGAATACAACCAACAGAACAGTACTACTGTAAGTACAAACACCTGTATAGCAAATTGTTTGTGAAACCATTCCACTTGTATTGCCCCATAATCTAATTGCATGGCGCTGATTCTCCCAATGTTTGGTTGTAATTCTCCTCTACTCAGAGACTTGTCATTCAGGAGTTAGAAGCACGAGTACAACAACTTACCCAGGAATCAGAAGAACTTCAGAATTCTAGATCAAAACTTGCCAAGGACAAGGTGTGTATAAATGATATCACAATTGTTTTAGTTTCCTTTTATTTTGTAACTACTTTTGAAAGAAATCCTAGCTGACATAATGACCTAATGCTCATTGCACTGGACTCCAGGGCCGGGTTCGAAACACAATAAACGTAACCCAGGGTTAGTGCAAATTTTTAATACAGTTTAACAGCTTTTTAGAGAAGTTTTTCTTTCTATTTTTATCCTTTTAGTTTCAAGTCATATTGAGATAAAACCCAACAAAACTCTAGCTCTTAAACACACTCATCTGCAAGGGAAATTAAAGTCAAGGTTAACTTTTAATCCTGGATTAATGCTAAACCCTTTTCTAACAACCTGGCCCTGCAGGTCGCAGGTCTAGGTTCGGCACCTGGCAGGTCATTGTGTTGTGTTCTTGGGCAAGACACTGTTCTTTCACAGTGCCCCTCTCCACCCAGGAGTGTAAATGGGTACTAATTGTCAAAAAAGCCTATAGATATACTTGGTGAAGGGGGGTAAGTAACCTTTTGATGGACTAGCATCTCATATCTCATGGGGGGGGGGGGGTAATTCACCTTGTCACTTCATGCCATGGGTAAACCAAGATGAGCCACTTGTCTCGAGTACAGACGTAACCTTACCTTCACCTTTGAATAGATAGATAAATGAGTGGAATTTTTTTAAAGTGGACTTGACAACCTTTTGGTGATTACAAAAGTGTTAGGTTATGATGCCTTTCCTTACAAACAACTGTATAATTATAAGCATGGAATGCCTATTGCTATAACACTCCAGGAAAATACACACCTGCTGGTATATCTTTCTGATTAGGATTCTTCGGTTTGGGACCCCTTTTCCCGTCAGAATTCAATTTAAACATCATACTTGCCTTCACTGACGATCGTTATGATGTCGTGTGGCTAAAGAAAGAAATTTCTTGTTATTTTTAAAGCAGTTTTTTCTTCTGCTTCAACTTGCCTTTTTAGGAAGAACTAGAACAGCAAGCATCATCTTTGTCAACTGAATTGCAGGAGGCAAAATCAAGGTAATGTTCTTATTGCTGTTGTTGTTTCATCTTGAAGTTTTAGGGGAAGGTCACTCAGATTTTCTCTTCATGAAAAACATTTTCGTGGTAAATCCATGGTAGTGCGATGTACTGGTTTACCCTGAAAATGAACTTACACGATGTGGGTTTCAAGTTTAAGTTCCTGTGGCTGTGTGGTTAGCTTGAAGTTGTAGCGCTAAAGAGGCAAGAAGACAAGATGAAGTGAACGCTGTCTTAAGCCCTACAGGATTGCTTTATTTGTTCAGCAACAACAACAAAAATTATTGTGGCCAGCTTACAATGAGGTCGCAAAAGACAACAGCCTTCCTTTTTTAAAACAATTAAGAGAAAGAAAATCACGAAAAGTTGCCTCAAATATATCTTGCAGTTCTATAGTGAAATATTTTATAAAATCCCGCTACCTCATCAAAACAAATATGGGTCTTGCCCTTGAGGACTGAAGTTAACGGATGAGATGTTTCTTTTTTGTGTTCATCAACTTTACCTGTGCCCATTAAAACGCAAATAGAACTTGCTCAGTGTGGTGTAATTTTGACCTCGTGCTTGTTCAATGAAATATGTGTAATACCCCTGTGTATTGTTTTTAGTCTGTCCAAAATGGAGAAAGATCATTCGCAAGCAATTAATGAACATAAGACGGTAGTCAAACAGTTGAACAAGAAGACAGATTCCAGTATGGAAAGCATGAAGCAACAGCATACCGCAGCGATTTCTAAGGTACAGAGCTTACGTAATACTGTTAAAAAAACATAGCTAGAAGAGGAGACAAGCAAGGGGTCGAGTGCGAGTCGAGCACGAGGAGGGCGCAACGGTCGAGACAAACGAGAGGAAGAGGAATTTTCAACTCTCGCGTGCCTCGCCTGAAAAACCGTTTAAAAAAATAGGGGAGAAATGGTACAAGGACTTAGGACAGAGTATGTTAGGGATGACAATGATAAGGGTTGTCATGACAGAGCTCGTTTGATAGTTTCAAGAAATGTTTTAACTCGTAGAACCTCTTCTTTCCTTGAGGTAAAATTAAAGTATTTTGATTCCCAGGCCACCGACACTATAGCAGAATTGGAGACACAGGTCAACCAACTTAAACAAGCTCTACAAGATTCGGAGTTTCAACGACAGAGGCAGCTTAGGGTAAGAACTGTACACACATTTCCTCTTTGTGTTTTTGTCTGTTTTGATTGCTTTTTCCATTGATGACGTTAAGTTCCTGGTTTTTTATTTTATCGATCAGTGTTCTAGCGCTTCTCCGCTTAAGCAGATTCGCTGCTTTGTTCCTCAATCGTTTAGCGTTAATTTCTTCCATCTAATTTTTATCCTTTTTCATCAACAGGAACTAGAATCTGCCCACAAGCAGGAGAAATTGAATTTAGAACATTTACACGAGAAAAAGGTGGGTAAAAATTAAGGCTTTCTGTTGAGCTGAATAAAAAGATACCTAGTCATGTCATCTATTCATGTGTTTTCTTTAACTGTCTGTGTTATTTTCTTTAGATTCGAGGTATTCAATCTGAGCTCGAACAAGGCGAGGCAGAATCGGAGAAGCGGATGAGAAAGTTGGAAAATCTTGTCAAGTAAGCCCCTTTATTGTGCTCTATCCTTG